CTGCTCTGGATGGCGTTTTATGCTGGCGCCTGGTTGGTTTGACCACAGAAGAAGGCTGCACGGATTTTGTGGATGTGACCGCCCTCACAGTCAGCACGGCGGCCGTGTCAGCCCTCCCGCTCCTCACCATCTTCCTCTGCTGTAAGTATCCCTGCTCCTTCATTTCCCTGCCCCTCTGATTGCCTTATATTTAGTGAGCTGGTTTCCCTCTGCCCCCACATGATCAAGCAGCCATGTGAATTATTTAAAAACTATTTGTTTGGCTCTTCCGAAGACCCCAAGCCCTCTCCATTGACTGTTTCCCTTCCCTGGTGAGCCCCAGGCACCATCCCCGAGTACAACATCCCATGCTGTGCGTTCGGTGCCTCTCATACACTTTCTCCCGATGCCTGGGAACAGATTTGTCCTTTCGCAGATCACACGACTCAGGGGTGGCTGAAGGACCGTGACTCCAGTTGGGCGGACAAGGAGAGGTACATTCCCTATTGCCTTTTTCCATGTAGATTCATACCATCTTGAAGGGAAAGGAGCAGGATATGGAAACTACTGCATGCCTTGTTTTAAGTCCTAGACTCCAGGAAAGATGCAGTCCAGCGCTGCCCTCCCAGCCCCTGATTTCACCCTGGGTTCAGTGGGTAGCTCTGAGGGAAGTCCCCATCCAGCAAAAAGTGTTTGAGTGCCTGCTCAAATCTCCCCACAAATCTCTCCCTCATGGCCTCAGCCTGAAGCCCTTAAGCCTGAATTCCTCCTGGTTTCATCCCAGCACTTTGGCTTTCAGCCATGCTGTGGATGCATTTGGGCTTAGTCAACCTGCGAGCCCTGCGGGAAAGCCCCCAGAGCATTGCAACCTCATGAGCCTCAGCCAGCTTCTCTTTGCCCCAGCCAAAACCATCCTGAGATACAGAGGAACGAGTATCACAACCACATCCATTTGTAGGGTCTTGATGGGTCTTTGGGCCATGCAAGGGTGGGCACGGAGAGAGGCCACCGCAGCCCTTGCCTCTGCCTGGCGCTTGGGGCAGGGCTGGATGGGCACACCAGAGCCCCGGCTCCAGCGATGCTCAGCACGTCCCACCTCCTCTTCCTTCCAGGTCCTTTGAAATGTCTCAGCCCAGCAGCAAGGATGCTGTTTCCACCTGTTAGAAGTCGGTTGGGGTGTTCCTCACTTGGCTGAGTCAACGTCATCTTTCTCCCGGGTTTAATGGGTTCGTGGCTCTCGGTTTTAGTGAGTTTGAGCCTCTGCGATACCTCTAATAAACGGCAACGAGATGAACTAATTTCTGCCGTTTTGTTTTTTTAACACAGAATCAGGGGAGGCCAAATGCACATTTTTCCCTTTCTTTTTCTTGAAAACCAGGCCCTAAAGCAGAGAAGCGCCTTTAGAAGCAGTTGCAGGAGTCTCTCTCACTAGTTTATCACAAGAATGAAGCTGCATCTTTAGTTAAGTGGATGTGGGTAACCAAACGCACCCACCTCACCCTTTCCCGCTGACATGCTTGACTTCTCGCTCCCCGGTGCAGATGATTTCAGGGCATGTTTGGGGGGGGCGGGGGGGCTGTGGGTGTCAGGCTCTCTCCCCCTGAATCCACAGGTCTATGTGCTGCCTGGACCCTTTAGTATGGGACAGCATCTCCAGGGGACCGCTGTCCCCCCCTACGGCGAGGCTTGGGGGGGGCCAGTAGCTGACCTGAGCCTGCTCTTTAATCTGTTTGCTTAAATGTAAATCATTCTATCCAAGCCCTGACCCTGTGTCAGGGTGTGTCGATATCTCCTCCGCTCCCAGCTGTGTTTTCTGCCTACAAGGAGGGGCTGGGCTGTGGGGCCGTTTCGGGGTGGTGATGGGGAGGCCAGAATTTGGATGCTGCCTGCACGGAGGCAGTCCTGCCTGCCCTTTAGGGCAGGGGCTGTCTCGCTCCTTGTTTTTTCCTGCCTCAACAGGCAGCGTCACATCCGCGGCCCCCCCACCCCCACTTCCCCCTTCCTGCGTAGAGAAACAACAGCTTCTGGGCCTCTTGTATCAAGAAAATGGGGAGAAAATCCCGTTACCTTCAGCAGGAACCATACTTTCTATGGACCCCTCGCCAAAAGACCGGACGTAGGAGGAGCGTGCAACTGAAGATCAGGAGTTAAGCAAGATGGATACAGAAGAAAAGTATACATTAAAATCAAAAGTGAGGGGTTAGACTCTGGGCACCCTGTGGTTTTTACTCCCAGTTGAGCAATGATCTGTGACTGGTGTTAGCCGTTGGAAGAGAGGGAAGCCACGACTTGTAGCTTTATCTGGGGTTAAGTCTTCAGAGTCTGGCAAGTTTCAGGAACATCATACTGCAAGAGGCCGCAGAGGTCGTTATGGCCTTTGACATCAGCTAATTGCACAATGCAAATTGAGTGGTGGAGATGAAGTGACTCACAAGTATCTAGCAAGTATCTCAGGGAAAATGCCCTCATCCCATCAGGATGCCAATATGATACTCAGCTTCTTGCTGGTACCTGAGAGCAGCCTGCTCTGCTGTACCAGAGATCGCAGCTGTATTAGAGGTAGGAGTTAAGAATTCACCCAGTTCTATGGCTTTTTAAAGTCTCTTCTTCAGTCGCTTGTCGTCATCCCCCCCCGCTATTCCTGCAAACGTAACTGAGCCCTGCAGTTCTGCATGCTGGAAAACTCACAGCCAGCCCAAAGGGAAGCAAACACAGACAGACTGATGGTTACTGCCATTTGTAAAGGGAATTTTCTCCCTCTTACAAGCACAATGTCTAGCTAATGGATGGAAAGGAGCTTCGCTGAGGGGCCATGGACCATGTTTATACATCTCTGAGCCTTATGTCCTGCTTTCCTGTTGCCCTAGTAGCAGCGAATACGAATTATTTATTGCTTTTGTGTCTGCTTAGCCCTTGTCAGCAGGGTCTCTGGCTTTTCTGTAATACCATTAAGGTTAAAAAAAAAGTGGCTGATTTAATCTAGCAGGCTAAACTAGACATGCTGAGGATGCATGGTTGCTCAGGACCATGGCCAGATGGCTTGTGAATGCTGACAGGGACAGAGACTCCACAACTTCTCTGGGCAGCCTGTGCCAGCACTTGGTCACCCTCACAGTTAAGACAGTGTTTCCTTCTATTTGGACTGAATTTACTTTTTAATGTGTGCCCATCGCCTCTTGGCCTGTCAGTGGGCACCACTGAAAAGTCTAGCTCCCTCTTCATTACAACCCGCTTTAGATATTTATCCCCCTTGATGAGACCCTCCTGAGCCTCCTCTTCTCCAGGCTGGACAGTCCCAGCTCTCCCAGCCTCTCCTCGGGTGTGAGATGCTTCAGTACCCGAAGCATCTCTGTGGCCCTTTGCTGGACTGTCTCCGTATTCTTCCTGGACTGAGGAGCCCAGAACTGGTCCCAGCACTCTGGATGGGGTCTCACTGGTGCTGAACAGAGAAGGGTCACCTCCCCCGACCTGCGGTGATGCTCCTCCTAATGCAGCCCAGGACACCGCTGGCCACCTTTGCTGCATGAGCACATTGCTGGCTCGTGGTCAGCGTGGTGTCCACCAGGACCCCCAGGCTCTGCAGAGCTGCTTCCCAGCTGGCCAGCCCCTACGTGTCCTGGTGCCCGGGGCTGTTCCCCCCCAGGGGCAGGACTTGGCACGTCCCCTTGTTGAACTGCACAAAGTCCCTCTCAGCCTGTCGAGGTCCCTCTGGATGGCAGCATGACCCTTGGGTGTACCAGCCGCTTCTCGCAGCTTTGCATCATCAGCAAACCTCCAGGTCATTTATGAAGATGTTAAACAGGACTGGGACGCAGCATTAGCACCACCCCTCCGGGCCCGGCTCTTCAGCCAGTTTTCAACCCATCCCACTGCCCAATTCTCTGACCCAGACTTGGTCAGCTCGGTTTTGAGGATGCTGTGAGAGACGGTGTCAACGGACCAGCTTGCCCAGCCCGATGGTGGTGGGTAGAAGGTGGCACGTGGTGAGGAGCCAGAGGTCCCAGGGGATAGGGACGGGCTGGAGGTGCTTCCCAGAGCCGGAAGTTCTCTGGCGGAGTGGGAAGCTGAAGGTCTGTCGCGGTCGAGACGGACAAACGACAAGTACGTATTCTTATAGTACAAGCAAAGATGTTTTTTTTATTACTACAAGCCAGCAAATTTATACCCATTATACTCTTTACGTTATACATATGTCTGTCCCTTATCGGTCGAAAAGTTGTCAGAAGTTGTTTTTCTCGCCCCTCATTGGGTGACTTTTTCAGGTTCCTTATCACTGCAAACGGTCAACACGTTCCTCAGACTTAGCTTCCCAGGCATGCTTCTCATCCCTTCTTGTTCTCTCACGGGAACGCTGTAATCTCGTCGAGGTCGATATCCTCCCCAGGCCCCTCGGTCCAGCCGAGGTCCTCCACAAAGGTCCAGGTCCCGCGGAGGTGGGTGCAGGGGGGCAGAGGGAGCATCTCGCTGCCTGGTGGTCCCATTGCCGGGGGCCGGGGGGCAGGACCCGGGGCTGGGCAGGACCCGGGGCTGGGCAGAACCGGGGTCTCGGCCGCTTCCAGGGTTCTCCCGTCCCGCGGCAAGCGGGGGGGAGAGCCGGGGGGGGCGGGCAGCGATGGAGGCGGCTCGGGCTGACGCCGGGCCCGGGGGCGCCCCGGCAGCTCCCCCCCGGGGCGCAGCGGGGGACCCCACAGCCC